TTTTTATAAATAATTTTATTAATATAAAAATTTGTAAACATAAAAAGGTTATTCGCATTGTTTGTGCTTCATGCATCATCATTCTTTTCTCCTTTTTCAATTCGAATATTCATATTACTTGAGATAAAATTATTGGAAATCAATGCGAACAGTTTTTTTTGTAGCTTCCCCTCACTCCTTCCTTCCATTCGTTAAGTTTAATTTTTTGGGAGAAATTTAGGAAAAAATTCTGCTATACTTGCGGAAATTTGGGGAAAACTCATGCTGAATATGAGAAAATTCAGCTTTAATCAACCCTGGAAAGAAGAGCGAGGAAAAAGAAAGCGTGATAGTTGAGAACGAGCAAGCGAGCGTTATCATGTACGAAATCTTTGTTAATCTAACCTAAAAGTTAATTCTTGCTGTGTACGATAAACCCCTCTCTTTATTCTTAACACCATGTCTTGTATAATCAAATCTTTAGATAAACCAAAACCATTATCCTACATGTATAATATATATGCGCGCACGCACGCACGCACGCACGCACGCACGCACGAACGCACGTGCATTTTAGCCACTTAAATTTATTTATTGCTTCTTCATATATTGTTTTCTAAAATCTATTAGAATCTCTATATCCTATTCAAAAATAAATCTGCAAATAAGACAAAATCAATATTAGATTAAAAAGTTAAAATATATAGTTGTGATTAGTATTGTACTATTGGGTTGTCCGGAAAGTTCGTGCCGACTATGTAATTTAATAAATGTATATTAAAATTTAAATTTTCTGCATTTCAATTTTCCTTCAACATCGCACGAACTTTCCGAACAACCCAATACAATATTTTTTACTCAAGTACAATACATTATTTTATAATCGCATCAAAGCTAATATTTTAAAAAATCGACTACTATTATAAATAGGAAATAAAAAATGCTTAAATCAAGAGAATTCAAATTAAAATATATTTTTACACGTCCACAAATGAAGATTTTTTTCTTTTTATATTTAAAGTTGTCATAAAAATAAGGTTTAAAATGATATCTACAAAAAGACCTTTTTAAAAGAAGAAAAAATATATGTCAAATGCATGAAAAAGATATTAAATATTACATTCCTTTTAATAAAAAAGAAATCGAAATAAATGCATTTAGCTAACAAAGGACCATCTCAATTTGTACAATAAATTAGTATGTAAATCCCTGATATCAGTAAAAGTTGAGCGTAAGATGTAAATTATGAAAGGCAAGATCATGTAAATTAAAAAAAAAGGCAAGATCATGCTGTCAACTTTTATTGATATCAAGGATTTTCACTACTTGTTATACAAATTGAAATGATCCCTTGTAAGTATTTCATAACGCAAAATTGAACATTGACACATAACATAGATTGAAAATGATTAAAATGGTCAACTGAATAGTGAATAATTTATATAAATATATATATTGTATATTATATATTTATATACAAATGTCTATTATTTTTATATTTTAATTTGTAATGCAAATACTGCGATGAGATAATATATTTACGCAAGTGCAATTAATGACCCGATATGCCAAGATTTTTCTGCACTAATGATCCAATTAATCATTTTAATCACTTTCAATTTATCTTATATGTCTTGCATTATGAAATACTTGGCTAATTGCATTTATTTCATATCCGTTTTTTATTAAAAGAAATGTAATATTCGATACCTTTTATATGCACTCGACATATTTTTCTTTTTTAAAAAGGTTTTTTTTTAGATATTTCACTGCTTTTTATCAATTTTTGAAAATATAACGTCGTCGTTCGGCAACATTATTCTCGCCCGACATCATCATCGTTGCGTTGTCATCGTTGTTCATCCATCGCCCCCCCCCTCTCTCTCTCTCTCTCATTCTAATTTTAATATAATATTATTTGAATGAAGGCGTTGTGAAAAACAGCTTAATGAATAAAACGTTTTACATGTATGTGTCACAAGTACGACTGAAAAAAATTTGAAAATCTGAAATAGTTTCTTTTCGGGATTCGATTTTTAGATCTCGCATAGACTACATCAATTTTATTCGGATTCGTTGCAATCGAAAGATATCGATGATATTATATAATAACAATATTTTTAGATTTTTAATTGTGGTTTTAATTTCTAAGTAATTTTAGTGTAAAGTTTGTTGATATCATAACTCTAGATGAAGCTAGTGGCGTCAAATTTGGCAACGCAATGGCACGAACATATACGCAATAACATTCACACGTCAAACGGTCAAGCGGCTCGTGTTGTATTTTTATGCATCGCAACATTACTGCGTCGCTTAATTTACAATTTCTTTTAAGTACATGAATTAATTATTTTTAACGAGATTATTATAATTATTTTATCCCCCAGAAACGCGGCTTTGCTGCAAAAAACTACATGAGATTTTCATTTATTTATTCATTCATTTTTGTTTTTACATAACAGAGGAAAGCCTAATTTCCTTTACTAAAACAATAGCAATAATGAATTATTAATCACAGTAGAATTCTTAATCAATAGTCAATTTAACTGTTGTTTCCTTACTGCTTACTAGGGCTTCTAAGTATTTGGATATTCAGATATTCGGATATCCGAAATCGATTCTGATCCGAGAACTCAAAATCGTATTATTCGAATAATCTGGATGTCCGTTCAGATCCGCGGTTCTGAATTTGACTTCGGATTTAGATCTATATTCGGAAAGAAAGAAACATCGATATATTTAATTTTAATATAATTTACTTTTTAAATAAAAATTGAATTTTGATTCAATGTATGTACAACTTTGCTTCCGCCGTTGTCCTATAGATGGCTTTAGCGGTAAGTGGTGGTCGAAATAAATAGATCATAGAATAAACTTGTCATACAATAAACTTGGGCATCTGTCAACCCCATAGAAACATTAGTCGATTTGTGTCTGCATCATAAAGTTATTCTCGATTGAAAATGTCAGTTTACGAGCCAAATTCTCGTCATTTGCGGGAGGTTTTAATTTTTTGTTTCAATATGAAAAAAATCTGCGGTTGAGGCTCATCGAATGCTCTCAAATACTTATGGTGAGGCCGCTATTAGTGAAAGAACGTGTCGTGAGTGGTTTCAACGCTTCAAGAACGGTGATTTTGACGTCCAAGGTCATGCTCTGTATTTGGTGGGACCAGCTCGGTGTAGTGTATATTATGAACTGTTAAAACCGACTGAAACAATCACAGGCGATCGGTATCGAACGTAATTGATGCGTTTGAGCCGAGCATTGAAAAACAAACGGCCGCAATACAACGAGAGACACGATAAAGTGATTTTGCAGCATGACAATGTTCGAAAGTGGTCAAGACATACTTGGAAACGTTGAAATGGGAAGTCCTACTCCACCCGCCGTATTCTCCAGACTTTGCTCCCTCTGACTATTACTTGTTTCGATCAATGGCACACGGCCTGGCTGACCAGCACTTCCGGTCTTATGAAGAAGTAAAAAATTGGATCGATTCGTGGATAGCCTCAAAAGATGACCAGTTTTTTCGACGCGGAATTCGTACGCTACCCGAAAGATGGGAGAAAGTAGTGGCCAGCGATGGACAATACTTTGAATCATAAATATATAACCAGTTTTTTACAATAAAGCCTCGAATTTTGGAAAAAAAACGGCGGAAGCAAAGTTGTACACCTAATATAATTGAAGAAAAATAAAATTAAAATATAGATACATAAGATAGACATATAAAGACATATAGATTCATACAGAATTATGCAAGCACTTAAAATCTAACTAGACCGTTTAAGGCCTTTGTTTCTATAGGTTGTGTTTCTTATATATATAAGAAAGAGATAACCTCTATTATGAGATAAGCGCCTAATATGAGATAGCGATTTCTGTTAAATTAATAAACGCTATGTATTATGATTCCACCATGAATTTATTGCTCTTAGATTGAAAATATTTAGTAGTGAAAATTCATTATTAAAGCATGCTCACAGTCGTTGTAAAAAAAGATTTTAGAATTTGGATGTCTTCAAGTTATTGAGATAAACCTTTAAACCTTGTTTATTATTTAATAAGTAAGTTTATTATTTAATAAGTAAATATTTGACAAATTGTTCATGTAATGAGAGTAAGATCATACTAATAGAAAAATACGGGATATGTTGAATTGTTTAATTATAGAAGTTAGATTTAATGATCATAAAACTGTAAATATAAGTGTTAAAGTGCGAAGAAACTTACTTGAAAAGGATTAAAGGGATAAACTATAATATAAGAAGGTAATTTCATTCTCGATCAAAAAGTCTTTTATTTACTGCCTAATTTTATTTCTTATTTTCATCAGAAGATACTTAAATTTTGCTTTGTTATTTAATCACATATTTAATCACATATTTAATTAACATTTACAAATTTTGTTACTAAAGACATTTACAAAACACGAGTTGTACATAAATCGTATACGGAATGCGTGTGTATGTATTTGTTGCGTTAACGATGCGTGCATGGGCAATCACAATAATCGCCGGCCAGTTGGACCGCGTGTCGGACTTCATCCTGCCTCCTGGACTGCGCGGCGGTTTCCTCCAGCCAAGAGACGTTCACGTGCCTGACGGTCCGCGGGAAGACCGCGTACTCCTTGCGAATGAAAAGAACAATATTTCACGGTAATGTCTCACGTATTATTATCAGAAAGTTCATTCATTTTGCCTTTTTCTTCGTGAGAACCGGCGGGAGAACCAAAATACAAAAATGGACTTCGAAAGAATTTAATCAACGTTAATGTTTCTATAATGTAATTACAGAAATATCCTTTTCTTGCCTTTCCGTTCTTTTCCAAGCGATGTGTCAAGTGTCTTAGAAAATGATTATTCACGTTTCTCAGGTTTTAAATTAAATAAAACAAGATATTTTTAAATTACAATCGTTGGAATTTATTCGTTTTCGTCGCCCACATGACTCTCGCCATTAATAAACAAGAAAAGAACGAATAAACCTTCTGATAAATCCGATAAGCACTGATGTACGCAAGCATTGTATATTGTATCAAAGAATACGATATAAAAAGAGGGAGAGGATAAAGTGGAAGAATAAAAAGTTTTTCGGTGCAAAAATCGTGGAATGACGCAAATTTCCGTGATGTCCTCATGTCACGTTCCGCTTGCGACACGCAAATATATGTTTTCCGCAATCGCCAGTGTTGAACGATGGAAAATTAACGGCGACAATCCGATAATCGGATCCGATAATCGGCTCTGATGATTAATCGAGCAAACCCGGGAACTTCTACCAGAATAGTCGAAAATGTTGAACATCGGGGGTCGTAGACACTAATGGCCGCAGTAAGTATTAACCGCAATTAATCCGGTTATGATCCTTTAACTTTTTCTGTTCCCGTTGTATGAGTGTTAAATTTCCGCGCTGCCGCCGGATTTTTCGCTGATAAAAACAGTAAAACCGCCTGGCGACTGTCAAATAATGGATCAATGGACTGTTATCGCGAACGGAGGGACGTTTAGATTTAGGACTGAACAAGAAAAGTGCAACTGTCAGTGAAAAGTGACGAGCTATATATGTTTGAAAACAATAGTTTTACTCAAAATATAATTAACTTATACGCAATTATATACCAACAATATAATGTATAATACGTAGATGAGCCAATAAATAGGGAAGAATGAGAAAATGTAATCCCCTCGGTAAAAATTTTGCGACAAACGTACATTTGAAGAGCATAAATTTTTACTGTATGCAATTATATCTATATTATAGGATATATAATATAATATATTATTTAATATATTGCGAGTAAGTCAATAAGTATTAGAGAAGAGGGGAAAAATACTATACGTATGAGGATTAAGAATGGAGAACTGCAAACACTAAAAAAAAGTTAAATAAAGTTAACCATTTTTTGTCAATTAATAGAGATATCTTAGTCTAAAAACATTTAAAAATAAAAATCTTTATTTAAAAAATAATTTAAATATAAAATCAGACAGGGAGTCATTATACGAAGCATACTTTTTATTTGAAAATAACTGAGTTTTTCTTCTCTTCAATATTTCTGTTGTTCATGGTTTAATTCATGATTTATACTTTAGCTTAACTTTGTTTAGATGTAT